GGGGAGGCTGAAAACAGGAGGATCACTATAAATCCGAGCTATGTAGTGAGACCCTTTACCAAACACATAAATTAAATTTTGAAAAAAAATAGAATGCATGAAACAGATTCAAACAGATATTCCGGAAATTAAGAACTTCATTGAAAACTGGAATGAAACTGAAGACAGACTTTCAGACCTTGAAGACAGTGGTGCAGCTAATGAATGGGAAAGGAAAGATCTCTAACAATGAGCCAGGAAATAACAATTAAGCAGCTACAAGATGACACAAAGAAAACTAATGTAAGACTAAAAGGTGTCACTGAAGCAGTGGAAGACAGCATAAATGACATAGACTATTTGCAGAAATACTAGCAAAAAATTTCCTAAACATGAGAAAAAAACTCACATACAAATAAACAAGGCATACAGAACTCCACACAGCCATAATCACAATAAATCTACACCTAGATACAAAATAATCAAGGTCTCACACATTCAGCAAAAGAATACAATATTTAAAGCTGCAAGACAGAAAACACAGATCATCTACAATGGAAAGCCCTTCAGGATCACAGCAGATTTTTCAACAGATACAATCAAATCAAGAAGATCTTGAAGTCAAGTATTTTAGGTTCTGAAAGAAAATAACTTTCAACCCAGATTGATGTACCCTACAAAACTATCTTTCAAATTCAATGGCAAAATAATATGACAAACAACAATTGAAGAAATTCATGACCACCAAACCAACCCTACGAAGGGTATTGACAGATATTCTAGAAAGAGACAGAAATGATCACAGCTTCAAGAACAACAGAAAGGAACTAATAAACAGAGCAAGTAATTAAAAAGAGGAAAAAATACAAAACCTACAGCAGGAAAATAACATGACAAAGATAAGCCAAGACATATCAGTTGTAACCATCAATGTAAATGGCCTCAATTCATCAATCAAAAGAAATAGATTCGACCCAGAGCACAGGCCCGGCATGTGAGTGAGATGACCCGGCCCTGCCAGATCCTCATTTGACCCAGAGTGCAGGGTGGGCCTGGAACCTGCAGCAGAACTCCCTGCAAAGAGGCTAGAGGCAAGACCCACCTTGATGATTCAGGAACAGAACATCTTGCCAGAGTGGCACAGAAGGTTCAGCTCCAAGGGCTGCAACAGGAAGAAGTGGAGCACAGCAGCCAGACCCAAGCCACACCCACCTGGAGGAGTCTGAACTTCATAGATCTGGACCTGGTGCTAAGGTAATAATTATTTAAGCTCTACACCAAAGGTCAGACACCAAAATGACAAAAAGAAGGAACAAAATGCAGTCTGAGGTCCCAAGCCCACTCAGAACAAATGCAGAAGGCACCAGCATAAAACAAATTGGAAATCACACACCTGAAATCTCTGAAATAATAGCATCTAAAGTAAAAAAACAACTGCAGAAAGGTATAGAGGAAATCAGATCGGAAATAATTTCTGAAGTAAAAAAAAATGATAACTATAATGAAAGAAGTACTAAGTGCTCCTAAAGAAGACACTGATAAAAAAGTAGAGCACAATAGAAAAATGATGGAATCTTTAAATAAGCAATATAGGAAAGAAATAGAACGCATGAATCATATGCAAACTGATATATAGGAAATTAAAACCTCAATTACAAGCTGGCAAAACTGTTTGAATGAAAGTGAAACAATACTTTCAGACCTTAAAGACATCATGGCAGCTAGTAAAAAAGTAAGAAAAGATCTCTAAAAACAATTAGGATGCAGGAAAAAATAATTCAATATCTGTAAGATGATGCAAAGATGACCAACATGAGACTAATAGGCATCAATGAGAAAGGAGTCAATACAAATGATATAAAAAGAATGTGGATGGAAGTAATAGAAGAAAATTTCCCAAATATGGGGAAACAATCTGACAGTCAGTAACAAGCATATAGAACTCCAAATAACATCAACCCAATTAAAACCACACCCAGTCATATAATAATCAGGATCCCAGAAATTCAGCATAGGAACAGTATACTAAAAGCTGCTAAAGAAAAGAAACAGAGACCCGGAGCGCAGGCCCGGCGGGTGAGTGAGACGACCTGGGGTCCTTCGGATCCTGAACAGACCCGGAGCGCAGGCCCGGCGGGTGAGTGAG